AACTCTTGTGTAACAAAATTATGTCAAATATAAGAGAATATGAGATAAACAAAACAAAACAACAAAAAATTTCATAACTTATTAAAAACAAGTTATTAATTGTTTAGAGGAATACGAAAAGCCTTTTTTACATCCAATTGTTGTACACTTTTTTAGTTGTGAAGACCTTTTATGAACACTCTTTGCAATCATTATTTATTACTTTGAAAATCACTTTAGATTTTATACTTTTAAAGAAATCATTTGAAATATACATATAATAAGGATTTCTTTTATTATTATTTTTTGTTGAGAAAATCAATTTGTTTGACAATTAAATGGGGTTTCGATAAAGTTGTCGATTATATAAGAAATGAGTGAACTTTTTTATTGTCAATAATTTTTTCTCTGTTCACAACTCATATAAGTTATAACAAGTCTTTTATAAGACAAGTGTGACATCAAAATAAATATTTGATAATATTGTTAAACTGACAAAACCATTGTTTTGGTCATTGTTTAGATTCAAAGCCTAAAAATTCATTCACGAAAAAACTTTGTTTGTTTTTCAATATCATCCCAAAGTATTTGGTCTTTGTTTCTGTGTTTTCTCATCTCTTCTGCGAATCAATTGTTAGAAATGTCTTTACATTTCACGGAGTTTTCAATGTTAACCAACAGTGAAGACCATTTGTTTGTGTCATTACATTGGTTTCAATTTGTGTTTTAATATTAGTTAAGTGTTTGACTGATTGCTTGAAAACACTAACTATGGAAATATATTCAATAATTATAATCTGTTTATCAATTATACTATCGATTGATTGTAAGAATACAACAAATGTCCCGCAAATCCTACCAAAAAGTTTTGTTTTAATAAATATCGGAAACTTTACTAAAGAAAAACGTGTGAATATTAGTAATAATAATAATAGAAACAACGATTTGCTTACGAGTGAACAAAACTATGATTACGTAAAAGCAAACGAGAATTTTTTCAATAATAATTATGGAAATAATAAAAATAATAATAAAAGTTTCTTAAGAGAAGTCCACTATTTTCACAATAAAGAGACTTCTTTTGAGAAAAATATTCACTGGAATTCCGGTAATATTTTTGACATTTTTCATACAATGTATTATTAAAATTTAATTATTTATTCGTGTTTTATTAAAATTTGCTAAAACTTTTAAATGATATAATTTTGTTAATTGTATTGTAATATAATTTATTTAATACTATTTATTTAAAGACAAATAATTTAAATAATTATAATTTTACTTTAGATAAGGAGTTTGTGTCAAAGAAAGTGAAGAAAGATTTGTATAATAAGAGAAATTATGACAATAATTATGAGTTGAATGACGACATCATTGAAGTGAAGAAATGGGACGACAATGAGAAGGATATTCACTTCAATGATAACCAAAATGATTATCGATTTAATACCAATGACAACACCAATCAAATCAAATACCAATCAAATATAAATCACAACAATATTAAGGATCACATCTATGGCAGGAATGAAGACAAAAGAGACTATAATATCAATAATAATAATGAATACAAAAGAAAGTATATGTTTGAGGAAAAAGCGGACGACAATCGCGGAGACGGCGGTTATGAGGACTCAAACAATGAAAATACCAAATGGTTTATCAATATTGATGGCAATAATGACGGCCACAACACCGACGGCAACGAAGTGACCGATGAAGACAATTATAATAACTATAATTCGCCCAAATTTATCGTCAATTTCCATAAGTTTAAGCCTTGGAATTATCTCATGAATTATAATAATAATTACGACAATAATAATAACAATAATGATAACAATTATAGGAATTATAATAATATTAATAACAAGAAAAACAATTACGAGATTCACAGCAATAATAACGCTAAATATGAAGGAAGAGATGATAGAGAAGACAACTTTAATTATAGACCAAAACTGTTGACTGACTTAACGAGTAAAATGAGGAAAGAATACAATAATAATTACAACAGTTATAAGAAACGACAAAATGACAGAGACTTTGGATCTAAGATCACATCACATAAGGAAATGAGGAACAGATCCAGAAGCGGAAGAAGTGGTCCCAAATCGGTTAGATATCACTACGAGAAACGCGTTTATCCGCAAACATATGCCAAGTCTAAGGGTATGGCAAAGGACTACGAGAGGTATGACAATAGCGGTGGCGGCGGTCGACAAACGTGGGATCAAATGAACAGGAAGTTTATTGAGACACCATTTGATACGTTTAACTCGGGCTGGAGTTCGAGTCACGAGCCAATGCACCGGAGGTCCGACACCACCGCCAAAGCCGTACCAAAGGTAACGCAATACAGGTTTGGCTTTTAGTCTCAAATGGCAACCAATTTGATAGTAATTTGAAACATCGCTTTTTGTAATACTATTGTAACACTTCTTCACTATTGTTATGAAATGTAAATTATTTTTTGTTTGTTTTATATATAAATGCAATGTTTTTTAAAAATAACTTTTCGCACACTTTTGAACAAATTAAATCTATTTCTATGAAGATTGTTTTTGTTTTTGGTTAAAGCTAATGAATCCATTAAATATACAGTATTAAAGAGTATTTTTATATCTCAAATAAAATCAACAAAACTAACTTTGTAAAAGCTTATAATTATAATCTAATTTTAAAAATGCATTACTGTTTTAAAATCATGTTTTATCTCAATTATAATTGCAATTATCTTGTGATAAGTTACTAAATGCCATATAATGTATTCAAATACAAAGTACAATATCGTTATAAAGATATGCAAAAAAATGTAATCAATAAGAAAAATATTACCAAAAATATGCTTTAAAAAAGTTTTTATTAAAAATTCAAATCCAAAACCCAAATCCCAAACCAAGAGATAGAGCACCGGTTGGTGGCCGTCATAAACGGGAGATTCACTTACGGTAGGCCTCGTTGTGTACTTTCTGTGACCGTCCGGAAGGGTCTGAAGGACAGCCCCAATCGGTTCGGGGAATCCAACGAACAACACTCTCGGCGCAGGCCTTCTCTGGGAACCACTTCTCAAACTCCTGGCGATACCAAAACGCTTCCTTAGTCTGCGGCGTGTCTTCGGGCCAAAGGCTTTCTTTGCGGGCAAACTCTTCGTCCGACACCTTCTTCTCGGCCTCGTCTTTGAGGGAATCGATCCACGAATAGCCGACTCCGTCAGAGAACTGCTCCTTTTGTCGCCACAGGATATTATCGGGCAAATAGGGCTCAAGAGTCGGGTCGTGGGACGTGTCGAAAGCCCTTATGGTTTACAATGAGATAAATAAATAAACTCTTTGTGAGACAAATAAATTCCTTACTTTCGAAGAATATATTTCTCGATCTTTTCTGATGAACACATCTTAGCGATTGGCTCGACATTCATGGCTACGTCCAAGAACTTGGTGTCGAGGAACGGCACTCTGGCCTCCAGACCCCACGCGAGGGTCGACTTATTGGCGCGCAAACAGTCACTTGTGTGCAGATTCTTCACCCGTTTGACGGTCTCGTGATGGAGAGCCGAGGCGTCCGGCGCTGAATGGAAGTACAGATAACCGCCGAATATCTCGTCGGATCCCTCGCCGCTCAACACCATCTTCACGCCAATCGCTTTGATCTTTCGCGACAACAAATACATGGGAGTACTCGCGCGGACTGTCGTCACGTCATACGTCTCCAAGTGGTAGATCACGTCAGAGATGGCGTCCAATCCTTCCTGTATTGTGAATATGTATTCGTGATGTTTGGTCTTCAGGAACTTCGCCACATCTCTGGCCGCCAACAGGTCTGGGGATCGTATCAAACAAAATGACAACCATTTGGGTTAGATATCACTGAATACGATCGCAGCCCGAAGTATACATATCTGGCAATCCGATGGAAAAGGAGTGGAGTCGACCCCATTCCTCGACAGTCACCTCATCGTTACTGCTGTTCCCGTCGTCCATATCGGCGATAGCCGGCGCTCTCAACGATCGCGACGACTTCCTTCTGGTGATCTTTCGGGTCTCTCTGACGGCAATGGAGGCGATGAGACTGGAGTCCAGTCCACCGGAGAGGAGCACTCCGTACGGCACTTCAGACATGAGCCGTTTGCGGACCGAATGCTCTAGTTTTCGCTTCAGTAAAGTCAGATCTAACGGCGCGCTCGCTATCACTTCCTCTGACCACCAGTTGGGATCAAACCAGCGTCTGATCTGACCGGTGGTGGAGTCGTACAGATGGCCGGGAGGGAAGGCTAAGATTCGGTCGCACTCTTCGTTCAACGATTTCATTTCGGATGCAAAATACACGGTTCCGGGCGATCGGCT